TAGCATGACTTCTTAACGCAATCCAGTAATAGTGTAAACCTTCCCTGTCATCCTGAAAAAGTTGATCTTTTTAGTCATTATCACACTTAAGTAAGACTTGTGACTTATATGGCCAAAGAATTGGATACAGACAAGACATCTGATTTACAAATCCATATGGACACACTTTCCCAAGAGCGGCTGTAATGTGGAGAACAATACCACATATTGTAATTTTTCTGACTTTTATTTCACAAATAATTCACAGAGACCACATGCAAAGCACTGTAACAGGCTCTGGGAAAGAAAGGGATACAGAAAGGACAAAATACAGGCCAGCCTTCAAAGGAGCTGATAATCTAGTAAGAGAGATAAGCACAAATCACACAATCCAGTGTGGGACCAAATCCAGGAACTGAAGTTACCGTCTGCCTACCTCCCCACCACCACCTGGCCATTTCTTGGAGGTCTGAGGCCTTAGGTATTTTTCAGAAGATCCATTGGCTAAGAGAGATCAGGAGATCCCAGGTCGCACTTCCAGCTGGCACTGTGAGTCCTGCAGGGATCTATCTAAATTCACTTCAGTGGAGGGGGATGTCCACCCACTGAGTCCAACAAAGGTGACAGAGGAGTGCAATGCTGGAATAAGAGAAGGCTGACTCAGGAAGCTGCATGGATGAAGCAATCATTTAGCCTTCCTCCTCTTTTGTCCCCATCTGGAAAACAGGGACAGGTCCAATAAAGAAGCAAAAGAGGATATGGGAAGAGCTCAAAAAACACAAGCTTGAAAAAGTTGCTCGGGACTCTGGGTCATGGAAATGCAGCCAGAAAAAGTCCTCAGCAATAGAAACATAAGAGGGTTATTTTGGGAAAGATCTGGAAGGAATTACTGAAGTTCAAATTGAGAACCCCCAACTCAATGGCGGCTATGACTGGGGAGGCATATTTATATATTTTTCCTTTTATTTCCCAATTGTTGGTTGTCAAGTCTGGTACCCTTTCTTAATTCCCATTTAGCCAGTGCTGTAGCTCAGTTCACACTGATACCAGTTTTTAAATTACACCCTCGCCATCAAGCCAATGGCAGTTTCAGAGCTCTTCAGAAAGATGGTAAGAAAGAATGAATACTCTTTCCTGGAAGTGCTTGGAAAGAAATAAAATTCCCTAGACAAACTGAGAGAAGATTCTATGCCATCTAAAAAAAGAAAAGTTAGTTAATTCAGGGCCTGGGGATAAAGACTAAGGCCCAAGTCCTCCACTGAGGGAAAGATCCAATTCTGAAGCAGTTCCTCTCCTATATTAAAAATGGCAAAAGCTGGTGAGAGGCTTTGTCCAAATCACCTTAAAAGAAAATCACTTCCTGGAATTAAAAAAAAAAAAAAAAAGTGGGTGAGAGAGAATGGGAACTGGTTAAAAACCTTTCCTGTCCAGTAGATATTAGATTCGCTACACAAGGTTCTTCTGCAATGGTTTGCCATAAAGAATTTTAGAATGTAAGCATTCTGAATGTGAAACTGGGAGTTCAGCTCCTAAATACCGATTATTGAGAAAAATCCCCACAGCACAACCATAATGAAGGTTTAACATCAGTGTCTGACATTCTGTCACTAAGGGATTGGTTTTAACAGTCTGGATTTGGCAGCTTGCCCTATCGGCTGTTTCACAAGCAGTTTCTGTGGTTTCAAGAAAGGCAGGGTGTTTGCTTTTAAACACTATCTTAAAAATATATTTCGGAATAGAGTTCAACCATTCCAAGACAGAAGGAGGAGGGAATGAAAACCAAACCAAATAAAGGAATCTGGTGCCACCCAACAGAAAGGGGGCACACCAGAGCCGCAGGGTAGGAAAGACACTATTTACCACCTGCACCCAAATGGCAAGAAAGGCCAACTTAGTGCTTCTGACTACCAAGTTACAAAATTAGGACACAGAAATAGCACTAAAGACAAGAGATTAATAAAGGGAAATCCCTACACGGATCTTCATCTCTCCAAAACAAACTTACCTGGCCCAAATCTATTTGTTTATTTAAAAAAACACAAGCACACAAAACCAAGAGTTCCACATCAATGCAAAAGACTGTCATCTAATCAATTAGCAGCCACACCTCTCTGCCGGCATGATGATGGTAATTAAGTTAGAGATTTTTCTCCCCAGGAATTCAAGTGAGAGCCCCTATGGGCCTAACCCATTGTGACAGCCTTTTCATTAGCAAGGAAAACACTGCTGCGCACTCTCCAAGGAAGCAGTGGCCTGCATCACTATAGAACACCTGTGTGTGAACAGCTACCTCTTCAGGGACAGCCGTGTGCGTTGGACAAGGGGGAGAATCACTCACAGGTGTTCTGTAGGTGGCCCTTGGTTTTTCCACCGTAACAAAGAGAAATGAGTTCTAAAGTCATTTAGAAATGGCACACAATCGTGATCTTGGAGAAGTGGAGCAGCTTGGAGCACACACACAAACAACCATACAGTCAAACTCCCCCTCTTCCTCAGCCAGAGGGACACAAGTGGCTAAGAGATACTTGAATCAAGGGCAACAGTTCACCCCTTTACCCCATGCTGGCATCGTAAAACAGGCTCAAAATTTGAGAACTCTGCTAATGAAAATCAAAACCTCAGCTAACAGGATAAAAGAAAAGGCAGTTGCCAAGTTAGCCAAGCAAATAAATCAAATCATAAACTCAAAGTCAAGTCAACTCCAATTCCACAGAGGGGCACACAGAAGCCGATCTCAATAAGAAACAATTGTAGGTGTCCCAGACCCCCTGCAGAGCTATGGGGACCAGCTTCAGGAAAGAGAAGTGAATTGAAAGAGAGATCAAACAGACGCAAGCAGGAAACCGCAGCGTATCACACAAGCAACGGGATGGAGACATAGCAGGACGGCCAGAGTTCAGCTCACAGGGTTGAATTGGCAAGTCCCAGACACAGGCAGAGGCCTGGCACTACCAGCTACAGTGCTTGGTGCTCTTGGCAGTCAAGGCTAAAAGGAAGTAGTCTGTGCCTCTGCATGTGTAAGTGGCACAGAGGGTTGTAAAGCAAGAACATCAGTTTTGTTTCGTAGGGGTAAAATGTACACAGTTAAGAGCCACACACAAAAGCTGTTTTCTTTTTGTTTGGGGGTGGGGGTGGGGGTGGGGAGGGAGCTTACAAAAAAGAGTTCTTGAATCCCAGTATTTCATGGATGCCAAAGAGCAGGACATTCAAATCTAGGAATCCAAACTGTCCTATACTGTGAGGTATTTACTAATTGGACATCAATTTTAGGTCTCAGGGTTTTGCTTTTTCTAAAAGGGGTTCTTGAAATTCAAGAAGGTGGGAAGAGACTCCGAAGCCAGGATTAAATAATAAGATTTAAAAAAGTTTCCCATAGCTCTTGCATGGGGTGCTCACTACCAGAGAGGCAGGACCAGAGTGCACCTGCCTGCATTCCCACCACTACTGCCACTGTTACAATAGGGCTACAGAGGACAGAAAGAAACATTTGGGGGCAGAGGAGATCATGCATGACTCTAAATCCAATCTGGGAGGCATTTTCTGCCCCACACTGACTGCAAGGTAATTCTAAGAGAATTATCTTCTACTGCCAGACACAACTACAGCCTAGGGCACAGGGCCCTTCACAGCCAAAAAAGTCTGTTCTAACACTGCCACACACTCTGGAGACCACCTGAAACGAGTTACTCAGCATTTCTGGGCCTCTATTTCCTCATCTGTAAACTGGGGAAAATAATATGACTTACTATTGTGAAGATGAATTGAGTTAATGTATGCAAAGCACCTAAAACAAGTGCATGGGACACAGAAAGCACTCAAATGTTGGCTATTGTTATCTCTCTGGCTAAAGAGACACAGCCTCAGAGGTAAATCTCGGCAAGCTTAGCGAGAATGGATAGGGCTCTGTCTATCCTTTAAGTACTCAGCCTATTGTCTGTAAAGATCGGGTTTTCCAGCAACTTGGAACAGAGTAATGTATTTACAGGGCCAACCATTATTGAGTTGTTGCTTTAGCTAACAGAGCAAACAAATCTTTGAAAGCAAAAGTCTTTATTTTCTATACAGACCAGTGACCGAAAAGAGAAAATAGCACATCAAGTTTAACTACGGAATTGAATTCAAAGCCATATGCTTCTTTGAAAAAAAAAAAAAAGTTTTATGGAACTTGCTGAGTGATAGGAAATGAAACTACAAGTCTATATGTAGGCCAAACTGATATGTGTTAAGCACTTGATTAAACAGGTTTTTTGTTTTTTAATGATTCTGATAAGTGATCCTGAGCAAATGACACAAGTTTAAAAAGACTGCTTAAAGCTGGTCCAAGTGACTATTAAGAGGTGGCCAAGGTCTACTATCTGTGGTACTAAGGGAAGCTTTTAAAAGTTAAAGGTGCCACAGAAATTGGAGGACGAGTATAGGCAAAAATAACAAGGTTGAGAATTACAGGGTAGTTTAGAAACTATGTATCTATCACAATTTTACCTGCCTCTCAAAGACTCATCCAGCAGTGACAAAGTTCATCCCATTTCAAATGCATACCAAGTGTGCCTAACTCTTAGAGGAGAAAACCGAAAGGTTGGAGGTTTGAGTCCACCCAGAGACGCCTCAGAACAAAGGCCTGGTTCTGAGAAATCAGTCATTGAAAACCCTATGGAGCACACTTCTGCCATACATGGGATTGCATGAGTTGGAGTCGACTTGACGTCAACTGGTTTTTACTGGATATAAACGTGGAATTTGGTAGGCATGTTTCATTAAGAAACAGGAGTAAAAAAGAAACAGGACAAAATGTGTAGGCTCAGAGGTTCCCATGGAACAGACTACTGCGTGTTTTGGCCTTACTGACTGGACCCTACTAGTCTTCAGCTATTGTAGGTACCAAGGTTCTTCAGAGACAGAGGCTAGGCAAGCTTTGCAGTTTTCAAATTTGGAATTGACCAATAGCCAAGATACAGGGTCAAAAAAAAAAAAACCTAAAAAAAAAAAAACTTTGTCATAATGAAATCCAAGTAAGCAAAATGATCTTTTTAATAGATTAAAAAAAAAAAAAAAAAAAAGGCCATGTCATGTATTAGAAGGAGGAAACAAGCCAAATTTGGTCAAAGTCCCTCAGGTCACTGAGAACCAGCCTCCTCAGCTAGAACTGCAAACCAAGGCAGTGAGTATCTACCTCAGGCCCAGCTAGGGCTAAATAACAAAAAAAAACAAAAACAAAAACAAAAACCCATTGCTGTTAAAGTCAATTCCGACTCATAGTGACCCTATAGGACAGAGTAGAACCGCCCCACTGGGTTTCCAAGGAGTGACTGGTGGATTCGAACTTCCGACCTTTTGGTGAGTAGCCAAGCTCTTAACCACTGCAAGACTACAGCTCCATGGACTAAACAGGGGCTGGGAATTACAAGACAAAGGCTCATTATGAGGTCACAGCAAATAACCAACCAATCAAGGTCAGGGACAATCAACCCTGTATTTGTCAAAAAGGGATTCTCATACTTTTGTCTGGAAATCCTTTACCACTCTTAATTATTAAGTGTCTCAAATAGCTTTTGTTTATGTGCGGTATAGATATTAATACTTCCCGTATTAGAAATTAAAACTGAGAAAATGTTAATTCATTTAAAATATTACTAAATCCATCACAAGTAAACATTATGTAATTTTTATGAAAAATAACTATTTTCCAAAATATCAGCTTAATACATATCATAGTGAAGTCCAAGTAAGCTAATCTTTAAAATGATAAAGTACAAGGCCATAAGAAAATTACAGAAGACTACAACTGAAGAACATTCTATAAAATAACTACAAGTATTCTTCAAAATTGCCAACATCAAGAAAGACTGAGAAACAGTCACAGATTGGAGGAGACTATGGAGACATGACACAATGTGGGATCCTGGGTTGGATCCTAGAGCAAAAAAAACACATTAGTGGAAAAACAGATGAATCTGAATTTCTGTACTTTGGTTAATAGTATTATACCAAGATTAATTCTTAGTTTTGATACATGTTCTATGGTTGTGCAGGATATTGATATAAGGGGATGCTGGGTAAAGAATGTACAGGAACTCTTTGGGCTATTTTTGCAGCTCTTCTGTAAATTTAAAACTATCTCAAAATAAACAATTAAATAAATAAAAAAACTTTTTTTTTTTTTTTAAAGCTCACAATGCTATGTATTAGGAGGTAGAAACAAACCAAATTTGGTAAAAGTCCCTTGGGTCACTGAGGACCAGCTTCCTCAGCTAGAAGGACTGCAAACCAAGGCAGCCAGTGTCTCCCTGAGGCCCAGCCAGGACTAAATAGGGGCCAGGAACTGCAAGACAAAGGTTTCTTATGAAGTCATCAAGGAATCAACCTACCAAACCCAGGGAGAATGAACCCATATTTTGTCTCCAACAGTGATTCTTACACTTTTTGGTTTCAGAAACCCTTTGTATTGCTAAAAATAGAGTCTCCCAAAAGCTGTGTTCATACTCATTATATTTACCAATATTTACTACAGTGGAAATTAAAATTAGAGAAGATTTAAATATGTATTAATTCATTGCAGCCCTGGTGGCACAGTGGTTAAGAGCTTGGCTGCCAACCAAAGGTCAGCAGTTTAAATCTACCAGCTGCTCCTTGGAAACCCTATGGGGCAGTTCTACTCTGTCCTATAACAGGGTCACTATGAGTAGGAATCAACTCAATGGCAATGGTTTTTGGTATTAATTCATTTAAACTCATGCCATGTAATGAGTAACTTATTTTTAATGAAAAAACTGTATTTATCAAACTACAACTTCATATATACCAAAGAAGTCCACCTAACAAAACTGATCTTACATGATCAAAACACAATGCTAGACAAACATAAAAAACAAAAACAAGGACTAACAAACTAAATTTAAAAAAAGAGAAAAAGAATAAAAAAGAAAAATGAGAATAAAAAAAGGAAAAATGAGAAAAATTAGAAGTAAAATAAACAAGCAAAATGAGAAAAAGCCTTAAAAGAATAAAGAAAAAAATAATATACAAACAAATAAAAAAATAAAAAAACAACAAGGCCAATGCTATATGTATCAGAAGAAAATAAGCTAACTTTGGTCAAAGTCCCTCAGGTTACTGAGAACCAGCTTCCTGAACTAGGACAGCAAACCAAAGTATCAAGTACCTTCTTAAAGCCCAGAAAGGGGTGGGAAACTGCAAAACAAAGGCTCCTAATGAAGTCATGGCAAGTAACCAACCAATCAAGATCACAGATAATCAACCCAAGTTTTGTCTGCAACACTGGTTTTCTCACTTTCTGGTCTTACGAATCCTTTACACTCTTAAAAATTACTGAGAACCTCAAAGATCTTTTATGTGGATTATAGTTATTAACAGTTACCTTATTAGAAATTAAATCTTATAATTTTAAAAAGATATTTATTAATTCACTGAAAATAACAATAAGTCATTACAAGTTTATACAAATAATCTATTTTTATATATATATTTTAAAAAACTAGATTTCCAGAACAAAAAGAAATTTCATGAGAAGAGTTGCAGTGTTTTACATTCTTGCACACCTCTTTAATATCTGCTTTAACTGGAAGACAGCTGACTTATTATAACTGCTTCTGCATTCAGTGTATTTCGATATGTTGTTTTGGTTGAAGTAGATGAAGACAATCCGATTTCACACAGACCTATAGGTGGAAAATAAAGTTTAATAATCTTTCAGATGCTGAGGATTTCCTTCTTTGATACTAGACCAAAACTCAACAAATGGTAGTTTTTAAAGATTAGCTGCATCTGGAATCTTATCGATGAACCTTTTGCATACTTTTACATTAAAATCCAGTGGTCATCTTGCACTTTCGGTGGCTCTTCTGCCCACTGGCAATTTGGAAAAGATTCTTCACTGAATTATGCAGAATTTCCAAATATGACATTGTATATCAAAAAATCACATTCATTAATTTTACCACCAATCTTCAAGTATTCTGAAGGTCTCAAGTTCACCGTGACAGCCACAAGTTTTCCAAAATTCTGATTTTTGTTCAAAAACTTGAACTTTATTAACCAGCAAAAGTGTCAGGCTTACTTTGTTAACTTTCAAGAAAATGTTCAAGAAAATCATGGTTTGTCTGTCAGTTGCTCTCTCAAGTAAAAATGATGTTTCATGCTGCTGGTTCCACTCAATCACACAAATGCTCTTCCTCAAGACAATCATTGTACTATAGTTAGTAGCAGTAATATTTCATGGATACCTTCCATTTCATCACTCAGAATATTAAAGAAACATTCATGAGAGAGTTGAGTTTTAATAAAATCAATCGTTTTTAGTGTGTCATCCAGGACATTCTTAAGTGAAATGGCTTTTTTTTAACCACAAGCATGTGGCAAGGAAGGATACGATGACTACAGTACTTAACTGGTGCCACTTCCTTGATTCATGCTATGGTGCCAACAGTGTTCTCTGCCACACTTCTGCACCAACAGCGTGAATGTAAACAAAGTAGTTCCAGGATAAACCAGGAGATTCAAAAAAGTTATTCAACCCTTTGAATATTTATCACCACTTGTTTGCTGCCGAGCATCTACACAGGAGAAAATATTCTTCGAAGAGTAGTTGGTGCTGATACAGCAAGTCCAGCCGCGTCTGTAGATCTGCTCATTTGTAAGGCAAAAGTAAAATTTCTAAACAAGATATTAACTCTGTCTTCATGTTTGCAGCGAAATCTTTAATTTGAGTCAAGGTAACCTTGGAAGTGGCACTGCCCTGATTTTTTCACTGACTTTTCATCCAGCGGGCATTCAGCAATCTGAAGACTTGGCTAGTCTCTCAGCTATTGTGTGGGCTTCTCCAAGCAAAGCGATGTAACAACTTATCCTGTAAGTCAGGGGCTTTTCCATTTCCAGTTTGAAAAGCTGGAACCATTTTTGGTTTTCAAAAGGCTCACAGTGTATACACTTAAAATACTCAATGCCTTTTTCCTTACATTCTGAATGACTGGTCTCCAAATGATGCCACGACTTAACTGGCATCATAATCCTACACAAAGACATTCTGCTCCATGAGACAGAGTAAGGCGCACTGTTAACATCCACATAGCCGAGGGAAGATAGACTTCATCACATTTTCTTTTCTCATTTCTTATTTCAGTTTTCCCCAGCTTCTTTGGAGTAGTCTCCTCCCTTTCACTTCCTGATATGACACCTTCAGTTTATCTTTACACACAGAGGCTGAAGCTGTGGGTTGAGAAGCAAGTCTTCAAATCTCCCTTTTTAAAGCCAACTATCGATCCTTAAACATAAGAGATACAAGTTTTATTTTAGAAAAAAACAGAAAGGCTAAAATAAGTTGCAAATAAAATACAAAAATTTAGAAGTTTTTATCAGTAAATTTTATAATTTGTACTTACTTCTTGTCGTGTTTCCTCACAGATGCCAGGAAAATGCTGGGACTTCAAAATAACAATTTATTGGACAATAATGAAGTTACACAGATGATAGCAGGTAAAACTGGAGACAGCTAGTGAGGGCGTGGTAGAAGTATGGAGAATAAACGGAGTTCACTGAAAACTTCCACATTTGTACCTTAAAGTACTACCTTAAAAATTCTAGACAACACAGTTCACAAGTGCACATTTCATAAGCCAAAAGAGCAATGATGTCATCACACATCATTTAGCCTCTGAAAAACTCACTCTTGTGAAAGAGTAAGAGTGAAAAAGGCAAATAATGTGTGTTAGGATGAAAATAATTCTGACCATATGTACCACCTGAAAGGGCCTTAGGGACATACTTTGAAAACCAAATTCACTGTCCAAAATTAACAAGTGCCTTCCTTCCCAGATCTCTCCCAAGACAGGGTCTGAATATATGGCATTCCTGATAGGTCAAGAGGACACAGCTAAGACCCCATCACCAGAGAAACTGGGATGCTGTCCCTAATAAGCTGTCAGGTTGCCAAACCTGGCTTTACTGAAGAAGGTGGCTCCAGAGACATAAAAAGAAAATGTTTTCTAAAGCAGCAAATCCTTAACTTTACAGAAATCAGGGGAATGGCAGGCAGAAAGAAAGGACAGGGTGGTTCTGGGATTCTATACATGAAGAACATCTCAGACTATCAGAACTCCTCTCCTGAGCCACCCCACAAAGGAGGCACAGAAACAGGTGTGGGCAAGTGGGCAAGCAGATGAAAACCTGAGACGGACAGGAACATAGTCGGTGATAACAGAGTTGAAAGAAACAAAAAACAAAAAAGTAAGTGAGACAAGTTAGCAAACGGGTCAAAAGGAAGAGGAAAACACAGTGAAAAAAGCATTCTCCCAGCGCTGAGGCTCTGTTACCTTTCTCACTGGTCACAGTTTCAATGTGAAAAAACCAGGCAACTTACTTGCGGTTCTGACAAAGCATTCAGGCTCTAAAAGGGGCAAGAGATGAAGATAAAGGAGGTACCCACTGAGACGAGACCAAAATCTCAGCCCAAGACCCAAAGCCTGCAAACGCACAGGAGCAGCTGAGAAGTGACAGTGTCCCTTTCAGGCCTCTCAAAGGGGAGGCTTTCTTCTCACCTCAGAGAAGCCAACAGAGGAACAAGATCGTGCCCTTGAAGGCCCCTCTGCAAGTGAAAAAAGAACCTCAAATCATTTGCTGCTTGATTTCCATCTGGTCTTTACCAGACAAAGAGGGAGGTTTCTCTTGTTATCAAAGGGTAAATACTGTCACTGGTGGGGGAGAGATCTTTGGGAGAACTCCCTACACTTGGTGATGCCTTGCGGAGAGTAACCCTCGGGTTCCTCAACACCCGGACACCAGCACTCAGGAAAGCCCCCACTCTGGTGACTGTGGGTCTGCCTGGCCTTCCAGCCAGCATCCAGACTGCACACCCCCCACCAACAACGTTCACAACATAGGAATACAGGCAATCTCCGAGTTACAAATTTTTGTTCCTCAGTCTGTCTTTAAGCTGAATTGGTACCAAGTCGGAACAGTCAGGAACAGTTAGGTACGGTTTGTGTCTATCGTCAGTCAAATGTTTGTCTTAGTATACAGTACGCAGTGTGCCCTTCTATGCATAAAAAACATTAAAGAAACACTTCCAGATAAACAAAAACATCTTTAACATAATACAGTAATAATAATAATGTCCGATGTCTCTTGCAATATAGCGCCCATTTGTTATTACTAACCACTGTATGTACCTTGAATTTTTAATAGCCTTTATGGGGTTGCTTCATAACTATGGGTTGTACTTAAGTCTGACGTTAGTAACCCGGGGATTGACTATATCAGCAGGCAGCAGGTGGTGTGTTTTTCCTTTACTCAATAAAACTTCCTAATATTGATGTCTTGTAAATAAATGAACCGTTATTAAAAAAAAAAAACAAAAAACAAGTGCTCTCAAGCTGTGCATGAATCTCTCCAACAGCTTTCTATTTCCTTTCAGATACGTGACTAGTAAACAAACAAATAAAAAAAAATCCAGAAACACTAGAAAAGGTACCTATGGGACCCCAATGGCTGGAAGAGGTCAGGGAAAACAATACTCTTTCCACTGATTTCAGAGAAACTGTAAGCTGCACCCCTTATACTGACCTGGAATTGTGTGGTGCTTAGAGAAATTCTCTAAGTCGCTCAACTGGCACAATGATGACAAGGATGATTACATCCTGCACTTACTACTCGCCAGGCACTACTCTAAGTGCTTTGTATTAACTCTTTTAATCCTCACAACAACTATAGCTGTAAGAGAGACACTATTATCACCCCCATTTTACAGATGAACAGTCACAGAGGATTAAGTAAGCCCAAGGTCACAGTAGAGGCAGAGCCAGGATTCCAATACCGGGACTCTAGTTGCAGAGGATGCTTTTAACCACAAGGCCTTACTGGAAGTCAAAAAAGGCTGGGATCTCCTCTCAACCCTGCCATAAGCTCAACTCAATGAGAATGCTATGCTAGACCAAGCTGGTCTAAGAGGCCCCACTTCCTGTGACTGAAGAAACCAGTAATTCAAACTTCTGTGGGCAAAAAGACAAAACAATAAGCCACAAGTGTCTTGACACCACATGCAAAGATGGCCATCTGTGGAGGGAAGGTGGGGCAGTGCTGGCGTAAGAGAAGCCAGCAGACTCTCTGAAGAGGTGGAGGAAAAGGGAGGCGCCCCTGCATGTGGGATATCAGTAACCAAACACAACCCCCAGCAAAATGGTACTCAGGAGAAGTGAGGAGCAGGTCACGGTGGCAGCAGCAGGAACAGCCTACCCAAAGCTTCACTCACTACCAAACTTTCACCTTAAGAGTTTTCTGCTGAGTGGAGAGACTAGGAAAATGACCTGGCTACATTAGCCGCACTGATGGCTACAGGAGTCTCAGAGTCCTGCCATGTCTTAATCCCTGAGAAACAGACCCACCACTGTTGTTCAGGGAACTGATACCCCCACCTTTCCTCAGGTACTTCAATCAGGGACAAACTCAAACTGTTCCAGGGAGGACCACCTGCAGAGTTTCCAGGGACCAAACACTATTCTCCCCACCCCTTCCCCCAGGCCTGGAGAGACTGCCCCACTGCACTGAACCAAAAGGCCTGGGGCCCTGCTCAATTTAGCAGCCAGGAGTCAGGATCCCCAGTTCCCTTTCAGACCCACAAATGGGGAGCTGCCTGCAGACTCAGCCCCTTCTCCTGGCCAGACTGTGAACTTGGAAGGGGGCTCAAGAAAAAGAGGTGTTTTAGAGCTTCAATCAAACGGTATGCAAACAGCCAAAGTTGCTTTGAGGTTCAGCGTGGGGTGTAGAAAGACCACTCAATGGAGAGACCCATTCAGGATTTGGGGGGCGGGGGTTGTTTACAGACCTCTTCCAAGCTCATGCCTCAATAAGCACAGCCCCAGAGGAGGCAGACCTTTGTATTGCCAGCTTCCCAAAGAGCAGAGGAAAACAGGCCACAGGGGCTCAAAACCAGCTTGACTGGTTCTTAAGAGAAGCCACTGGTCTGCTCCGCCTTCCTTTTGTTAAAAAGTAAAAGGCCAAAAAGGTGGCTTGGAGCCAGTCATTGAACACGCCCCTCCTCTCTTTCACCCCCACAGTCCCACGGGATTCACCTAGCCACCAATTACCAGTGTCCCTCGTACCGTCTTTCCTACCAAACCTTGTGAGGATATGGCTTTCTAAGACTAAAATTAATCATTTCGTGCTCAACAGGGAACTACATTTATTTTTGCCCCTTTTTGCTCACTGTCCAATGTGAAATCTAAGGAATAATTGGAAGTAGGCGGAAATGAGCGCCAACCCGAAGACAGACATCTGTGGAAAGAACTCGCCACAGGGACTGAGAAACTTCAAACACTCTAGGCAAAAACAGACATTCGAATAAAGCGATCTACACCAAAAGGAGGAGCTGGTCTGGTGGCAAGAGGAGGATCTGGGAGTTAAGACTCCTTAGATCCCGCCTCCTCTGACAGATAGCTGGAAACCAAGAGTCCGGATTCTCCCTCGGTGTTGTTTCAGAATCAGATGTACCATCTTCACATCTGAAAGATGAGTAATGACAGTCATTGGCCTACGCCAAAAAGGCTGTAGTGGGGTAGTGACATTCTGCTCCCAGAGTTAGAGCTTTCCGAGTTAACACGAGGATAGACTTTGCCTCATCCCATGCCAGAAGTAGGAATTGGGTGATTTCTTCCCCCACAAGGTTTGAAAACGCTTACTCTTCCTTGTGCTGAGAAAGAAGGGGAAAATACATAGATAACACTTCAGTGACTCACCCATGTTTGATGAAGGCTGGGAGAAAGCCTGGAGATCGTTAGCTTCAAGTGCAAAATTCACAAATACTGGAATCTCCCCCAACAAGGGAAGGAAATTCAGCCATTGATCTGGCTTGTCATTTTGCTGAACTTCAGATGAACGAGGAAGACCCAGGTTTAGACTCCACCTGCCCTTCCTATATCCCTCTCAATTTTTGCTCTGATGGGAAAGCAGCAAACCTGGTAGCACCACGACAGCTGAAACAGAATCAAACCCTTTCCATACCTCCTTCGCAACCAGAGGTCTCATACCCACAGTCTACAACTTAACCAAGCAGAGGGAGTCGGGGCTGGGTCCTGGTTACCACAGGAAAGCTCATCAGGAGGTCTCAGGGAAGAAGAAAGAACAGGCCTCCCCCTCCTCCTCACCATTTCCATCTGCTGAGGTTACTTCACTCCAGTCCATTAATGGGCTTCAAAGTGCTCTTCGGGGGAGTCCATTTAGCAGAGCTGTTATCATGGGGCCAAAGGTGGCACCCGGCCCCCACCCTGCTTGTTGATAATGGGCCACAAAGTCTGAGGCTTAGCTGCACTCTAGGCATAAAATATTCATTCAAGTCGACATAATACATGGAAGCTCCTGGGAGAAGAGAAATGCCAGCCAGGTGGCTAAGTGCTCAATGGGAAAGAGTTCACAAAGGCCTGAGTTAGTCCTGGTCAAATGCTCACTGAGAACTGGGTAGTTCTGTCCAAAGAGGAAAGTCTAGTCTGAGAAGTTTTTGATCCCCAAGAGGTCGAACCATGCAAACCTCTTGGGCAAACAAATTTTCAATCTTTTCCTACCTCATCGGCAACAACTCTGCTTAAGACATTTGTGCTGATAAAAAGTCTCCAGCCCAATCTTTGAAAAGATTCAGCTATCCCTGTGCAAGGCTGATTTGAACCTGAAGCAGCTCAAGTTTCAACAACTGCCTTGTATCTGTCAGTTTTAGCTACTTCCCAAAGTCCACAGATTAGTGAGAAATTATTACAATTTACTAGGTATTTTTCCATAGTTACTTTTACTGGGTTCAAAGGTTATGACATGGCAACTCTATGAACCCTAAACCCCTCAAAA